GTCGGGCGCAGGAGCCTCAATGTACTCGAGACTATGGGATTCTAGCACTCTGTCGGCAGGGGCCCCATATTCTCCAAATTCATGGGCGCTCTCGGGCGCCGCCGGGCTCTGTCGCGTTGATCTTCCAGGGGTCAGAGGGGCCCCAGACGGGCCAAGAAGGCCCGACAAAAACACCCGAGAGGCACCAGGAGGCCTCCAATATAGCCCAACAGCGGCCTAAGACGCCCAAGACGACCCCAACAAACCCCAAAGAACCCGAAAAACAATCCAATATGGCACCCAGAGAAGGCACCAATATGCTAAAAATATGGACCCCCCGTATAGGTTTCAGTGCTGCTTGTTTTTATTTAACGTTGTCGGGCGCCCGACGCTCCAAGATGGCCCCGAGAGGCAAGAGAGGGAACACGAACAGACAATCCGAGCCCTCCGCCCCAAATGGTGGGGAGGTACGGCCTGCCTCCCCACCGCGGATTTCGGCACGCACACGCGCGCACGCACGCGACTCTCAAGTTTCGCGGCCCCATTGGGAGCCCCGCCGAAAGCCCAAGCGACACCGCCCGCGTGCGCCCCCCACACCCATTTCGGCACACCCCTCACAAGTTTCGTGGATCCCTTGGGAGCTACACCGAAGGCTCCAGTGGCGGGGCCCGCATGCGCCCCCCGCGCCCACTTCGGCACACCCCTCACAAGTTTAGTGGCCCCACCGGGGGCTCCAGCGAAGGTCCTCGCGGGTGTCTCTGAGCGCCCGCCACGCACATTCCGGTACACCCCTCACGCGTCTCGTGGCCCCAGATGGAGCTCCACCGAAGGCCTCAGCGGCAGGGCCCGCATGCTTCCACACCACACATTTCTGCGCACCCCTCACGCGGCGCGTGTCGTGGCGCCAAAGGGAGCTCCACGGAAGACGGTGTTCCCAACCGCGGTTCTCACGATTGCATATGGTTGGGTCCTTCGCCAGGCTAATGTTGCGTTGGTGTCGCACTGGTTTGGTGTTGCTTTGTATTGGATTGGCTTTGTATCCTTTTTCGTATTGAATATGTATATTGGTTTTATGTTGGTTTCGTATATTGGCATTGCTTTTGTCTACGAGTATTGTTGTTGTATATTGGTCTTGCTTTGGATTTGCATTGCTTCAGTATCTTGAATTTTAAGCCACCCCGCTGCGCGGGCGCGGAAACAACTCAAGACGAGGTGCAAGAGGCGAGCCACGGCCTGTCTGTCGCCCGCAACGCATCCGTCGTCCAAGTAGAAGAGCGCGAGTTTCAAGCCAGCGTCCTGCGCGAGCTTCCTGCTCCTCAAGGCTGCGGTGCGCCGTCTCCGCGCAGAGTTGGAGTACCAGAGAGAAAAGCAGCGGGCAAAGCGGGTCGCCCTGCTGGACCCCGCACTCGGAGCGAAGCGCCTATATGCCGAGGAAGAGTAGCGATGGGGCTGCCGTAGCACCAGTCCGCCCAGTGCCAGCGCGGGAAATCCTCGCGCACTGCTCTGAGGATGGCCTGCCGGTCCAGTGTGTTGAACGCGCTCGAGAAGCCAGGTTTTACGAAGGCTTTGTCCCTGCGTCCCTGTTGCCATAGTTGCGTGCGAACCACTGCCTGGTCCGGTGGGCAGCCGCCTCCGCGCCTCCAGGGACAGCCATGGCGACCTGCAGGGGCGCTGGGTGGTCACGGGCAGCCTCGGCCACCCCCTCGTAGAAGCGCTTGCCCACCAAGCGGCGGAGTGTCTCGTCGACGGCAACCGGGCGAAGGCCGCCGTTGCTCTTCGGGAGAGCCACCAGCGAGGCGCCAGCAAAGTAAGCCGCGACCGCTGGCGGAGCTTGGCCGCGGGCGAGCATGTTGACGAGACTGGCGAGCCTCTCGACGACCTCGTTCCTGTGGGCTGTCGTCGCCAGGGCGTCCTGCAAGTGTTGCGGGCGCAGGCCCGTGAGGCTGGCGGCTGAGCCCTTGGGGAAGGCCCGCGCTTCCTTCTAGACGAGAGAGGTGTCGACCTGGGAAGCGGCGGCCGCGTGGACGTCAGGAGAGCTGTTCAACTCCACATGTTGCTGGCCTGGCGGGTGTTTGCTGCGCATCTGGTCCACGACGGCCGGCGCGACGGACACGAGCGGCTCCGACGACAGCGCCAAACAGTTTTTCGAGCAGAGCCCCTCCGCGGCCAGGCCGACGCAGCGCTTTTCCTGGTGAGTCGACTTGGCCGCTTCCCTCGTTTGGCGCCGCTCTGTTGTCTCCGCCCAAAGCGTCTGCCGCTCTCTCCTCTCCCTCCAGCCAGCGGCGACAAAAGTTGTTCGTTTCCTGCTCGCTGGCGTTTCGGCTGGCTCGGCCTCCGCGGCCGTGCGGGCGCAGCTGCGTCGATGTTGGCGCCAATGCTGCTGTAGGCGCTGTCGATTTTAACGGCGTAGGCCCCTCCCTCGGTGCCAGCGTCGGTGCTGATGCAGGCGCTGGTGTAGGCACCGACGGCAAAGGAAGCGTTGGTACTGGCGTCGATGCTGGCGTAGACGCTGGCGTTAGTGCCCGCGTAGGCGCCAGCGTCGTTACAGGCGCCGATGCTGTCGTCGTTGCTGATGTAGGCGCCGGTGCTGGTGCCGGCGTGGGCGCTGGCGTCGTTGCGGGCGTCGATGTTGGCGTCGGCTCTTGTGTAGGCGATGGTGAGGGCGCCGGCATCGTTGCAGGCGACGAAAATGGCGATGGCGCTGGTGTAGGCCCCCCCGTCGTTGCCGGTGTCGGCGCTGGTGTAGGCACTGGCGCAGGCCACGTCGTGCTGCCCGTCGGTATGATGTTGGTCGCACTCGTGCACCTCAGCCTCGTACCCCTCGTAGGCGTTATAATCGTGATGCTGGACCCTGACCTGGTGCGAAAAGACGCGCTGCCTGCCGCAACGGCCATCCCAATCGTGGGTGTCGATGTTGTACTGTCGAGCCCCGTCGTGCCGCCAGTCGGACTGCTGCTGGTCGCTGTCGTGCTGATCGGACGCATGGTGCTCGTCTGAATCCTCGTCCCACTCGCGGGTGACAAAGTCGTCCAGGACGTCCACGTCGTGTTGACATCCGCCGATGTGCACTGCCAGTCGACGACGAGAGCCTGAGCAGGGCATCTGACGCCGGCACCGCGCATGCGGCCCAAAGCATCGCGGCCCAGGCAAAACGGCACTTTGCAGGAGTGCGGGCAGGCCGCGCGGCACACTCCTCCTCCTCCTCCTCCTCCTCCTCCTCCTCCTCCTCCTCCTCCTCCTCCTCCTCCTCCTCCTTCTCCTCCTTCTCCTCCTCTCCTCTTCCCTCCTCCTCCTTCTCCTCCTCCTCCACCTCTTCCTCCTCCTCCTCCTCTCCTCTTCCTCAGCCTCCTCCTCCTCCTCCTCCTCCTCCTTCTCGGCCTCCCCTCTCGTCCTCCCTCATCCTCCTCCTCCTCCTCCTCCTCCTCCTCCCCCTCCTCCTCCTCCTCCTCCTCCTCCTCCTCCTCCTCCTCCTCCTCCTCCTCCTCCTCCTCCTCCTCCTCCTGCTGGCACCCTCCTGGCACCCTCCTCCTAGCCTCCTCAGGTGCTCCTCTGCCTCGTCCTCCTGTACTCCCAGCTGCTCGCCTTCTTCCGAGCCGCCTCCTAGCCGCTGGCTGTCTCCTCTGCATCCGTGGCCGCCTTCTCCTGGGCCTCTGCCACGTGCAGAAAGCAGCGCTGGCCGCTCCGCCGGCGGGCGGGGTTCCGCCAGCATGCGACCGTGCCGCCATAGGGCCAGCCCGCTCTTGGCGCGCCCCTGCTCCCCTGGCCCCCCCGCGCACCCCTGCCCGCGGCACTCGCGCCCGGGCCGCGTCGGCCACCCCCCCGCCGCGGCCGTGGGATGCCCTGAGCCGAGATGCCTTGAGCCACTGAGACCACCCACTTGCGCCCAATTGATAGCAGCAAGCAGTCCATATGGACCATGACCCCTCTTGGAACTATCTTGGGGCGTCTTGGGGCCTTTGTTGGCCGTCTTGGGCCCCTTGTTGGGGCCTTGTGGGCCGACTTGGGGCGATGCTTGTGGCCGCTGGGAGGAGGATGGTGCAAGGACGAGGGGGGGGGGATGGAAAGGATGACAACGAGGAGCAGGCGGAGGAGGTGAGGTGTGGTGCTCGGTCAAAGAAACCCACTATCCTATTGTGCGTTAACGTGCCGACGATTCGTGATTTAGTTGCTCAGTTGCCAGGCGGGGGCAAATGCCCCCACACCTCTCATCCCGAAGAGCTCGTCGGGGTCCGAGGGAATGGCGATTTCCGTACTGCAGCAGCGAAGCAATACCCATCGCAGTTGTGTAAGATTATTGCCCAGGCACTTCTTCTAACTGTGCGAGATTGTGAATTGCAGGAAGTCGGCCAGGTCCCCGAGGTCCCGCCACAGGTGCAGGATTTCTATGTGCCCTACGACCCTTATTTCGAGGGTCACGGGTGGGGGCGCTACGCGGCGGACAGGCACCGTGCTGGATGACGCCGCTTTGCCGCCGCCGCTTCGTTTTTGCATGTCATTCGTCAGTGCAGCAGCTTTCTTGCTCCCATCGGTGTCGGAAGAAGAAGGAGGTGAGGTCCCAGGTGAGAAGACGGGGAGGAAAGCGGAAGAGAAGGCGGAGGCCATCGAAGAACAACAAACTACATACACCCAAACTTTCTCGGAGGTCCGCGCGTATTGCTTGGATCGGCGCTGGGCCCCGCTCCCTGGCGAGCGGAGCGCGCCTGGGGTGGCTCCGGAGGCGCCGCCGGGGGGCTCCAGCGCCGATCCAAGAAATCCGCGCGGGCCTCCGAAAGTTAACGATTATACAGTTTGCTGTCAACCCGAAGCCGAGGCCGAGGAGGCGTGGTGCGAGGGTGGTCACGAGCGGCGAACATATCCGTACCCGCGCCCTCGCGGTCTGGATTCCAGGTCGCACGGACCAGTTCCGCGTGGGGCATCCGCGAAAAAAACACAGCGTATCCGCGGAGTCGCGGCGCAGGGGCGCCTGCCCGCGAGGCCGCGAGTACGGACATGTGTCTCGCCCGTGGGCCACGGGGTGCCGCCTCCTGGCGGGATGCCCGGCCGCACCCGCGGGGCCGCTGCCGCGGCGGTGGCGCGCGCCGGCGGCGCCTCCATCGCCGCCCAGGCGCCTCCCCCCCCGCGCGCGCGCAGCGGACGCGGGGCTGCTCGAGCCAGGATAGCTTCAGCACCGCCAAACCGAAAGATCCGAGGCTCCGACCAGATTGGAGTGGCTGCTTGGGGCTATTTTCGGCCTCCGGGGGCCCACAACGGGCCCTGGGACCGTCCGAGAACGACTCAGGATGCAAAACTGGTCCTCGGGAAATGGTCCGGACATTCAGGTGCCCACGCATCAAAAAATTTGAGCGCTGGATGTCTGGGAACATCCCTCCCTCCAACTCGCCAGATCACAACTCGACGAGTGAGAAGTTCGGAGAGGCGGCGTTCAGGAAGGCGAAGGCGTAGAACGCGAGAGCTTGGGCCCCCTCCACGGCCCCAGATCTAACCGAAACCCGCGCGATCCCCAGGAACGCCGACGCACGGAATTCCCTCCTCCATGTCAACCCCACACCCCATGCCCTCCGCCTTTGGTGAGACTTCGGGCTGCGCACAGCCCCCGCCCCCCCCCCAGGTAGTCCCGGCTGGCCTCCACAGGCGCCCAAGGTGGGGCCCAGCTGGCCTCAACACGGTCTCAACACCCTGGCGCCTCCTCCAACGGCGCCCCTGGGGCGCACCGCGCCCCAGGGCTGAGGTGCTGAGACCGTCCCGCGCTACTCGGGGGGCCTGTTGAGGCCAGCTGGGACTACTCGGGGAACCTGCTGAGGCCGTTCGGGGCTGGCTGGGTGGGCTGCGCAACCCGACGCCTTACCACCCCTTCCGCCTTGCTACGTCCTGCCACCCCCGCGCCGGGCGACGGGCGTTGGCGGGCGGCGGAGACCGCTGAGGCTCGGACGGGCTCTGGACTCAAACGAGGGAAGGGAGGACGAGAAGAGGCGCAGGCCAAGGCAGGATTGGGGAGAAGGAATAGGGGAACAGGTTTTTGTGACCTCAACCGTCATGATCGCACGGGTTCGGAAGCCGACCGCCCCTGTACCAGAGGTCAGCGATCGCGCGCCAAAAAGATTGAGAGAGAATGACCTCGCAGCTGCAGGGGCTCTCGACCCACCAGCAGCACAAAGAAGTTGGGGCGGCGGCAAAGAAAATCAGCCCAACAGCCGACTTTCAGACCCTCCCTTTCGGTGAAACAGCGGGGTCTCGAACTGGGTAAATTCCGATGGAATTCTGCAACACTTCACGGGAAAATCAAACCACGGTCCAGGGACCACCCTCGACCGAGATCGCAGGACGCTTCGGACGCTTCCTCTTGCGAGTAGCAGACCAAGCGCATTCGGCCCCGTTGGACTGCGGCAAACCGCTACAACTTCCAGACAAGTTGCGAAGATGACCGTGGGGACCGTGATATTAAGCTTTGCAACGAATGCAAACGATAAGCAACGCATTATCAGAGCAAGCAAGAGCGATGCACATGTAAGGCGCAAGGCGCTTGGATCTACCAAAGGAGGCTTCGAACACACCCCAGGAGGAGGAGAATCAAGGCGAGAGGAGACAGCAGGCTGGGGGTCTTCCATTCCGCATGGAAATGCGCAAACAGGTTTACGTTGCCCAGAAGTTGAGATTCGGACCCAAGAGTGGGACGGGCCAGTGCTTGGCTGGATCCGACGAGGCTTCTTTTCAAGCACCACTCCTTTCAGCTGCAGACGGGGCCAGGCAGGCAAGGAGGGGAAAGGAGGTGCAGAAGGTGGACGAGGAGGAGAATGCAAGAGGGAAAGGAGGAGTAGGGATGGGGAGACGAGAAGAGGAGAAGGAAGAAAACAGCAGGGCGAGAAAAAAGTAAGGAATGAGGAGGCACTTCCATCCGCGTCGGAGTGGGGAGGCGAGATCGAAAAGCAGGGAGGGCCTCCCCAAGTCCACAGCGGGGGTATAGAAGACCGCGCCTCAAATCCGATTGAGCGGGGTTAGCAAAGCCTGATACCAGATATCCGCCTTTTCTGGAAGGAGAAGGGAGGCGGAAGAGAAGGAGAAACGTGGAGCAACATCAGCAGCATGGCATCAACTGCCTTACAGCCCACTCTGGGGTGCCTGGGAATCTGGGCCACAATCAGGACGGCAAGGAATCTGGGTCGTGCTACCTCTTCTCCGTCTCCACCCCGGACGTTCAAACTCACGAAGAAAAGAATGATGAGACATGGAACGTGCTCATATTCATACAGATACATTTATAGGGAGAGAGACAGAGAGAGCGAGAGAGGCAAAACAAAGAGCGAGCGAGATAGAGAGAGATATGGCCCGGATTCGGACCGCGGGTCCAGGCGCTGCGGCCCAAGCTCCGCGCGCGCCGAGCCCTGATGGCTGGGGCGCAGCGGAAACTGGCAGGGACCGAGCACAGAGGCCCACCAACCGGCGCGGGCCGGAGCGCGCGTCCGAAGGTGAAGAACCGAGACCCCGAGCGGCGCGGGAGCGGCAGTCCTGCGGGTGCCGCTTGTGTGGCGGCCAGGGGATGATGGCGGCGTGGCGGGCAGTCACCCGGCCGTGGCGGCCCCCCCCCCCCCGCACGGTGCCCCATGCGAGGGGTGGGCGGCAGGGCGCTGCAGGCCGGGCAGCGCCGCCGCAAGAAGCCGATGGTGGTCATCGGGTGCCGGGGCCACGGTGGCCGAGTCCTGGCACTTGGGCGCTGGTGGCCTGGTGCTCGACTCGACACGCCGCAGCCGCACGCGGAGGCGTGATCGGCGAGGAGCTGCTGGAAGGTGACCTGGAGGCATCCTGCCATTGCGTTGCTCCACGAGGGGAGGAGTGAGTGCTGCCGATGGCGACCGGGAGGACAGCAGATTGCTGCTCCTGTATGGTGGTAGCTCGGCCTGCGCCTGGTTGAGGTGTTGCGTCGTCGTGGTCGTCGAGATTGAGGTCGTGGCTATCTCCGTCGACGACTCCGCCCGTAATCGCTGTAGTGGTCAGCGTCGGCTAAGCCGTGGCCGTGGCGGTCGCTGACGAGGTTTCCGCGGGGTGGCCTGATTACCATGTGGTGCGGTGATGACATGTGCACGCTGGTTGCTCGAGGCCGCCTGAGGGGCAGGATCATGATTCCCATGTCCGGGAGTAGCACGGCCTGCGCCTGGCGGGGGAGGTGGTTGATCGTCGCCGTGGTCGGCGCGATCGTGGTTGTGGTCGTCGCGGTCGGCGACGCCGCCCGTACTCGCGGTGGCCACGGTCGGCTAAGCCATGGCTGTGGTGGTCGCTGGTGAGGCTTGGTGCCGCGGCGGCGGTGGCTGGTGAGCTGGAGCCAGCCGCGTGGGCTAGGTGGAGGCCGAAAGCCGTTGTGGTGCCGTGACCGGCGCCAGGGCCAGGGGGCACGGTTTTTTCTCTGCATCTCCGCCCCCCCCAAGAGAAACAACCAATGGGCTGATGATCAAAATTGCCAGTTTCCCCACCGAGGGAATGGCGACCGTACCATGCTAAGCACCAGCCACGAAAGAGAAGGAAAACAAAAAGGACGGACGCCGAGGAGTGCGAGTGGGCAGCGTGGAGGGCCTGGGGGCAAGGGTGCGAGAACGTCAGAGTTGTGCAAGGCATCCGGTGGCCCACTGGCTCGTGCCCTCGGCAGGACAGCCCAGCGGTTGAGCCCCTGGGCTCCAGCCTTTGGCGGGCTGACCTGAGGCCGATTGGGCGGTAGCCTGTTGGCGAGCTGTGCCTTGGTGGCCAGCGAGAGGAGCGGTGCTGTGGTGGGGAGGCCAGCAGGGGCGCGACCCTGGCGAGCAGCAACGTCGTGGGACGTCTCCGCTTGTGCAGGGAGAGAGGGAGAGAGAGAGAGAGAGAGAGGCAGACAGAGAGACAGAAAGACGGAGAGACGGAGAGAGAGAGAGAGGGAGAGAGGGATGGAGAGCCACGGATAGCCTGTATACAAAGGTGCAAATAGACGAAGAGATGCAATACAGAGTGGGAGAGGCAGGGCAGCGCAGGAACTGGGATAGCCTACGAAGCGGCGGCGGCGTGTGGCCTGCTTCACAAGCCCCTGCCGTGGTCCCGACTGACCATCGCGTGCGGGAGGCGGCGCTGCGCGCGGCCCAGCGGTGCGGCTGGGCGGCCGAGGCGCCGCCAGGCTGCGAAAAAGCGGTGACAAGCAGCGGGCCGCCGCACAGGAGCAGGGAGCGCTGTCGTCATCGTGATCCCGGTCGCGGAAGACTCAAAGACGCTCACTTTGAGAAAACGATGGTTGCTGACCTGTGGAAAGGGTTTCGGGCGCTCTCGCCTCGACGCCGACTGCATTTTCTTGAAAAACTGAGGCTCCCGCACGAGCGCAGGCTTGGCTCCAAATGTTGCCCCCCGAAAACCAAACTACGACGACAACGGCTCCCGCTCGAGACTTCCTCGCGCTTTACTCTCAGACGCGCTGAGCCACAGAGGCCGCCAACTCAGGAATGGTGCTCTCGCCGAAGGCTTCCTGACAATTCAATCAAGTTGGCGAAGGCCCAACTAGGACGACAGCGGCTCCCGCTCGATACTTCCTCCAGGTTTACTCCGAGATACCATTGCCAAAAAGGCTCAAAGACTCAGGAATGGCACTCTCGCGCGGAGCTTCCTCCCAAATCAAGCTAGTTGACGAACGTCCACCTACGACGACAACGACTTCCGCTCGATACTTCTTCGCGATGTACTCCCAGACGCCCTGGCCAGAGAGGCCCCTAAAATAAGGAATGGCGCTCTCTCCCAGCAACTCCTGACAATATATTAAATTGGCGAAGGCCCAACTACGACAACAACGGTTCCGGCTCAATAGTTCCCCAACTGACTCCAAGACCCCCTGGGCCAAAGAGGCCTCCAAACCCAGGAGTGACGCTCTCGCCCGAGGCTTCCTCGCAATTCACTCATGTTGCTGGGGGACAACTACGACGACAACGGCTCCTGCTGCATACTCCTTCGCAATTTATTCGCGCGCTCCCTGTCATATGTTTTCTCGCAATCAGGAACGGCGCTCTCGCCCACGATTTCCTCTCATTTCCTCTCTCTCCTCTCGCCCACGATTTCCTCTCATTTCCTCTCTACGACGACAACGGCTCAATTATTTCTCACAGTTTAATACGAGACGCCCTGGCCAGAGAGGCCCCGAATCTCAAGAACGGCTCTCTCGCTCGAGA